GCGGGCTGTGTCTGTCTCGTCCTCACCCTGACCGCTGGCTGGCCCCTCGGGGTCCGGTCACCGAACAGTGGTGTTCGTGGGCAGCAGCCACTGCGTGGACTGACACAGGAAGCCCTTGGAAAACATCCCCCAAGTCAGACCCCCAGACCTGTCAGTCAGGGCCCCCGAGGGCACAGCACCGTGGGAGGGTGCTGGGTGCTGGGTGGGGAGTTGTCCTATCTCCACATTCCTTGCCCTCCACCCTGAACCTGAGCTCAGCTGTCCAGGGCAGAGGCCCTCGTCCTCTCTGGAGTCCTGTCCCAGGGTCCCTCTGGTCCCTGATGCATAGTGGGCCACCCGGGGAGGTGCCAGGTCAGGGGGGTCTGAGGGAAAGGGCCAGGACAGACGCAAGCCCAGGGGCAGGCAGGCGGGCTGATGGGAAGGGGACATCAGGAAGTGGCTGGCCTCAGAGCAGGTGGAGTGTTTATACCACAGGATCTGCAAGTGCTACACATCACGTCTCCCCACAGCACACGGCGGGCACGGGCAGACGGACAGACGCAGTGGCAGCAGGCGGGCGGTGCTGAACGGCCGGCCTCGTGACGGGCCTCCTTCCCCACACCCGCACCAGGAGGCGGCTCCCCCCGGAACAGCTTCTGTCCAGTGAGGTGGGCGGACGGGGCCGCCAGGCTGATCTGGGATTAGACCTTTGGTGCCAGGATCGGCTGGAGGGGCACGGGGTGGGGGGAGTGGGGGGGATCTCCAGCTGGAAGTCGGGCCCCAGGTTCCAGGGCCTCAAGCCGAATTCCTGGGGATTTAAAGGGGGGATCACCTCTGGGTTGCTGCGGGGTTTGTGGGGCGATGGGTGCAGCAGGCTCCCTCCTGGCTGGGCAGCCTGGGCCAGCGTGGTTTTCTCCAGAGGCTGATTGGACGCCCTGCCCACCCCGCCCTCGCGCGAGGGGTTAAACTCCAGCCTCCGAGGGCAACTGAGCTTGGCCCCTGCTGCCCTCCCCAGCTCTTCCTTGAATGTCCCGAGGCCTCAGCCTCTCCCCTGGGGCTGTGGCCTGTGCCTCCTAACGGGTGGAGGAGTGGGGTGGGCAGGGCGACGAGGTGGGGTCCTCCGTGCGGACAGAGGGCAGCAGCCTGTCCCGCCCTGGGTGAACCTGCCCCCCATCTTCACCCCACCTGCTCTCCCTTGGTCAGTGCACAGCATGGGGCAGCCCATCTCCCTGGCAGTGGGGAGAAAGGCTGGCCTGCTCTAGTTTAGGCCCCAATGGACACCATCCCCAGATTGGGCCCCAGGTCCCTTCATCGCCCGAGTGTGGGCAGTGCTGGCTGCCTCAGCCTCAGCCTCAGGGGTGGGGGGCAGGGGTGCTGGCTGCTTCCAGGAGGGAACCTGAGCCCTGGCTGAGCCCAGAAAAGCCACAGCCCTTGGAACCAGCAGAGTGGGAGCCGCTGGTGGAGGGTGGGCCCAGCACCAGGGGGGGCACAGGTGGGGCTATCGGAGTGGCCAGAGCTGGGCTCCGGCTGGGGGCTGGGCTGAGCTGAGGAGGGGCACGGCCTGGTGTAGCCCTCAGTGTGTCCTGTGCCCGTCCTCACTACTGGGTGGTGGCTGGGTGGCCACCTGACAGCCTGGCTTTCTCTTTCTCAGGGACGCGGAACCCGCCCTCCTGGCCATGGGAGGGGCCGTGGTGGACGAGGGCCCCACAGGTGTCAAGGCCCCTGATGGGGGCTGGGGCTGGGCCGTCCTCCTGGGCTGCTTCGTCATCACAGGCTTCTCCTACGCCTTCCCCAAGGCGGTCAGCGTCTTCTTCAAGGAGCTCATGCTTGAGTTTGGTATCGGCTACAGTGACACAGCCTGGATCTCCTCCATCCTGCTGGCCATGCTGTATGGCACAGGTGAGGGTCAGGGGCAGGTGAGGCCTGGGACAAGGTGAGGGCCTAGGATAGGTGAGGGGCTGGGACAGGTGAGGCCTGGGACAGGTGAGCAGCCAGGGCAGGTGAGGGGCCAGGGCAGGTGAGGCCTGGGATAGGTGAGGGGCTGGGACAGGTGAGGCCTGGGACAGGTGAAGGGCTGGGATAGGTGAGGGGCTGGGACAGGTGAGGCCTGGGACAGGTGAGGGCCTGGGATAGGTGAGGCCTGGGACAGGTGAGGGTCAGGGGCAGGTGAGGATCAGGGGCAGGTGAGGGCCTGGCACAGGTGAGGGCCTAGGACAGGTGAGGGTCAGGGGCAGGTGAGGGTCAGGGGCAGGTGAGGGTCAGGGGCAGGTGAGGGTCAGGGGCAGGTGAGGGTCAGGGGCAGGTGAGGGTCAGGGGCAGGTGAGGGTCAGGGGCAGGTGAGGGTCAGGGGCAGGTGAGGGTCAGGGGCAGGTGAGGGTCAGGGGCAGGTGAGGAGCAGGGGCAGGTGAGGGCCTGGGACAGGTGAGGCCTGGGACAGGTGAGCAGCCAGGGCAGGTGAGGGGCCAGGGCAGGTGAGGGTCAGGGGCAGGTGAGGGCCAGGGCAGGTGAGGGCCTGGGATAGGTGAGGGCTGGGGCAGGTGAGGGGCTGGGACAGGTGAGAGGCCAGGAGTAGGTGAGGGGCTGGGACAGGTGAGGTCCTGGGATAGGTGAGGGGCTGGGACAGGTGAGGGCCTGGGATAGGTGAGAGGCCGGGGTAGGTGAGGAGCCCATCTGGCCCGGATGGGCTAGCCTGTTTGTCTGGGAGCCGCTGGCCCAGCCTCACCTGCCGGGCTGTGTGGACCCAGCGCACAAGGTCGGGCCCCTCTTCACAGACGGTGGGTTCTCAGTGCCTGGGGACCACCAGCAGGAGACACTCACCGGGGAAGCCCTGGATGTGAACTGTGGTCTCTCAGGCTGGGCGGGGAGCTGGGCCAGGCGTGGGGAGGGTGGGCTGCCACTCACGCTGTCCCCCCCAGGCCCGCTCTGCAGCGTGTGCGTGAATCGCTTCGGCTGCCGGCCGGTCATGCTGGTGGGCGGCCTT